GAGCCTCCTCGCGTCGCCTGGTTTACCGTGGTACGCTGATTCCCGCGTGTGTTGCCGGGGCCTTCGCTGTGCCTCGGAAGACGGCCGGTTACGGGATTTTGGGAATGGGCTTCGGGCCGATTAAGGGAACGCGAGAGGGCTGTGATCTTAGGGGGAGGAGGAGGAGGGAGGAGGAAAGAGTAGGGGGCGGGGTAGAGGAGCGCCAGGTGAAGGGTGGAATGGGTGGGATGGGTGTGTGTCCGGCGAACAGTTTTTCAACTTGACTCTACGCGGGGACGGTCGCAGTCCCCACTGGCGCTCCCGGGGGCGCTGGTGTGGCGACCTCTCTTTTCTCTCTTTTTTTTTTTTTTTTTTTCCTCATGCCTGCTCTCTCTATATATATATATCTGTTTTTTTCTTCTGTGTATTTTTCTATCTCGATTTGTCTGTATTTCTGTTCTCTTCTTATCTCTCTATATATATATCTAATCTGTATCTCTCTCTTCTCTATCTCTATCCTCTCTCTCTCTCTCTCTCTTCTTCTCTCTCTCTCTCTCTCTCTCTCTCTCTCTCTCTCTCTCTCTCTCTCTCTCTCTCTCTCTCTCTCTCTCTCTCTCTCTCTCTCTCTCCTGCTCTCTCTCTCTCTCTCTCTCTCTCTCTCTCTCTCTCTCTCTCTCTCTCTCTCTCTCTCTCTCCTCTCTCTTCTCTCTCTCTCTCTCTCTCTCTCTCTCTCTCTCTCTCTCTCCTCTCTCTCTCTCTCTCTCTCTCTCTCTCTCCTTCTCTCTCTCTCTCTCTCTCCTTCTCTCTCTCTACTCCTCTCTCTCCTCTCTCTCTCTCTCTCTCTCTCTCTCTCTCTCTCTCTCTCTCTTCTCTCTCTCTCTTCTCTCTCTCTCTCTCTCCCTCTCTCTCTCTCTCCTTCTCTCTCTCTCTCTTCTCTCTCTCTCTCTCTCTCTCTCTCTCTCCTCTCTTTCTCCTCCTCTCTCTTTCTCTCTCTCTCTCTCTTCTCTCTCTCCTCTCTCTCTCTCTCTCTCTCTCTCTCTCTCTCTCTCTCTCTCTCTCTCTCTCTCTCTCTCTCTCTCTCTCTCTCTCTCTCTCTCTCTCTCTCTCTCTGTCATATCCTTTATTAGTACCTCATTTTCATGTCTTCTTCCCTCCCTCTTCTCACTTCACTAATCCCTCCCTTTCTCTTCCTCCTTATTTATCTTCCCCTCTCATTCTTCCTCCGTACCCTCATCCATATCGCTTCCTCCCGTTCCTCAGTCTCTCTCTCTCGTACTTACGCCTACCATGACCCCTTATCGAGGGGGGGGGGGGGGGGGTTAAGGGGCCTCTTTGACCCCCCCTCTCATCGTCCTCCACCCACCATCCCCTCCCCCTCCCCCTCCCCTCCCCCTCCTCGCGCCCTCAGCATTGCGACCTGGAACATATTCTCCTTTGCCGATTGCGAGACCCGGGTTTAGCGAGACCCCCTCCTCGGCGGTGAAATTGAAAATTGAAATTGATCGTCACTGAAAGTTTATTGCATCGAGTCTTCGCATTGCAAATAAACCCCCACGTTCCACATCTTGTCGTTGTGGGTTTTCTTTCCGTCGTGGGCGTCGGGCGTAGTAGCACAGGAGCGCACTTTCACTCGCCCTCCCTCGCGGCAAGGGTGCGGGAGGACGGGTCAGTGGTGCAGTTATTTACGGGTGGCGTTGTTGCCGTGAGGAAGTTAACTTGGCGGGGGGAGGAGGCGGACTTCCTGTGGCGCGCCGAGAAGTTACGGCTCTCTCGGGCTCTCTCTCTCTCTCTTTCTCTCTCTCTCTCTCTCTCTCTCTCTCTCTCTCTCTCTCTCTCTCTCTTCTCTCTCTCTCTCTCTCTCTCTCTCTCTCTCTCTCTCTCTCTCTCTCTCTCCTCTCTCTCTCTCTTTTCTCTCTTTTCTTTTTCTTTTAGGTGACTTTTGGTGTCTTTTTTTTCTTCTTTTCTTTGGTGTCTTTTTTTTCTTCTTCTCTTGAAGTGACTTTTGGTGTCTTTTTATTCCTTTTCTTTTTTCTTTTCTTTGAGTGACTTTGGTGTTGATTTCTTTTTATTCTTTTCTTTTTTCTTTTTCTTTGAGTGACTTTTGGTGTTGATTTCTCTTTTTTTATTCTTTTTTTTTTTTTTTCTTTTTCTTTAAGTGATTTTTGGTGTTGAGATTGTTTGGGATCTTTTTTTTTTTTTTTTTTTTTTTTTTTTTTTTTTTTTTTTTTTTTTAACGTGTGTCCGTTTTGTGTCTTACGTCTTGTCTGTTAACATTTGTTTGCTTGGTTGTCTTTGTTTGCTTTTGTGTTGTGGTTGTTCTGTGTTTATATGGGTTTGTTATGTGTTGTAATTTGCATAAGTTTGTTGTGTTTGATCTGGGTTGATCAGACACTTGACACATTTGCACGTTTTTTTGTGATTTTGAAGAAGAATAACCTTCAAATCCAATCGAGACACTCTGACCTCTTTTCTCTTCTCCTCTGATCTTTCTCTCTCTCCCCTTCTCCTCTTTCTCTTCCTCCTCTCCTCTTTCTCTTATCCTTCTCTTTTCTTTTTCTCTTTCTCCCTCCTCTTTTTCTTCTTCTCCCCTTCTCCTTCTTTCTCTTCTCTTCCCTCTCCTCTTTCTCTTCTCCTTCTCCTCTTTCTCTTCCTCTCTTCTTTCCCTTCTCCCTCGTCCCTCTTCACTCTCCCTTCTTCCTCTTCCCTCTCCTCTCTCCTCCCCTCCCTCTCCCTCTCCCTCTCCCTCTCCCCTCCCTCTCTCCCCCCTCTCTCCGCTCCTCTCCCCTCCCTCTCCCCTTCTCTCCCTCTCCTCTCCCTCCCTCTCCCTCCCTCTCCCTCTCCCTCCCTCTCCCTCTCCCTCCCTCTCCCTCTCCCTCCCTCTCCCTCCCTTCTCCCCTCTCCCCTCTCCCCTCCAAGGTGCAGAGGGCAGAGAGTACACATCCCTCCCCCTGTGTGTTCTCTGTGTACGTTTTTTGTCATGTACGTCTTTTTCGTGTACACCTTCGTCCCCTCTGTGTGTCTGTGGGTGGTATTCGTGTGTCTGTCTGTGTGCGTGGTGTGTTATTATGACGTTTTTTCACCCCCGGCTGTTTTGATTGGGGGATGGTGATTGTGATGATGGTGATGATTGTGGTGGTAGTGTGATGATGATGGAGATGGTAGTGGTGGTTGACTGGTAATGGTGGTGGTGGTGGATAACGATGTTTGTGGTTATGTTGATGGTGAAGATTGATGGTCGTGGTCCAAAGTATGGTGGTGATGATATCAGGATTTGGTGGTGATGGTGATGGTGATGAGGGGAGATATGATAATGATGGCGTTGATTATGGTGATGACTATAAGGATGATAGAAAAGTCTGATGATTGATTTATATGGAAATTGGGAGAGAGAGAGGAAAAAAAAATCTTTGTACTCTTTTAATAAAGGATGTGGATTTCCATAGATTATATAATTGGTTTTCTGACGACGCGTTTTGCTATTTATTTTTGGGCCCTTTTGCTATTTATGTTTGCCTTTTTTTCTATTGTTTTTATAGTTTTGATGTTTATTTTTGCCTTTTTCTATTGTTTTTATAAGTTGTGATGTTTATTTTTTGCCTTTTTCTATTGTTTTTATAAGTTGTGATGTTTATTTTTTGCCTCTTTCTATTCATCTTTTACCTTTTGCTATTTATTTTTTTGCCTTTCGCTAATATTTTATTTATTGCATTTTTCTATTTATTTTTTGCCTTTCGCTTTTTTTTTTTTTTTTTTTTATTTTTTTGTCATTTGCTTTATTTTTTTTTTTTTTTTTTTTTGTCTTTTGCTATTTATTTTCGACTTTTACTGTTTACTTTTTTGCCTTTCGCTACTTATTTTTTACCTTTTGCTATTTATTTTTATTTATTTTCCTCGTCGATCGATAAGCATATGATGCAACAACGATTTTCTTCCGTTTTATTTCTTTATTATCATTTTAATTTGATTTATATGGATTGATATACAACTAGATATACATTTTATAATTGAGTTCGTATGATTTGTTTGTTATTTATTTATGCTTATTTCTAATTTACTCGAGATCTTTGACGTCACTGAGTTCGTCTATTTATTTGCAAAGGGTGAGACGAGATGCTAATTGTCGTCTTTTGTTGTTTTATTTATTTTGTTTTCTTTATCCGTTGTATGCCAGTTCGTCATCTTATTCATCTTTTTTTTTTCTGTTATCGAGAAACTGCCTTCTTTTTTTAGAGAGAAGAGAGAAAGAGAGAGAGAAGAGAGAGAGAGAGTGAGATTGAGTGAGATTGAAGTGAGTTAAGGAGTGAGTTAGAGTGAGTTAGAGAGTGAGTGAGAGAGGGAGAGAGGAGAGAGAGAGGAGAGAGAGAGCAGGGAGGAGAGGGAGAGAGGAGAGAGGGAGAGAGGAGAGAGAGAGGAGAGAGAGGGAAGAGAGAGAGAGAGAGAGGGAGAGATGAGAGAGAGAGAGAGAGAGAGAGAGAGAGAGGGAGAGAGAGAGGACAGAGAGCGAGAGAGAGAAGAGAGAGAGAGAGAGAGAGAGAGAGAGAGGAGAGAGAGAGATGAGAGAGAGGGGGGGGTCTGGGGCATTTAGAAAGGCGTACAGTGGTTAGTCAGTAATGCTTTGGCTTGTGTGTGCGTGTGTGTGTTTGTGTGCAAGCGTGTGTTGCGTTGTGTGTTGTGTGCGTGTTGCGTGTGTTGTGTGTGTATGTGTGTGTGTGTGTGTGTGTGTGTGCGTGTGCAAGCGTGTGTGGTGGGTGTGTGTGTGTGCGTGTGCAAGCGTGTGTGTTTGTGTGTGTATTCTGTATGGCTTCTACCATTACTTCCAACATGTACATCAACTTAAGAAATCCCGCAGCCCATCCTCACTCCTCAGTCAGCGACAGAAGAGTCCTCAGAGTCCCACAGCCACGAGCATTTTCCCCCTTAAAGGACCTCCGCTTAGCATACGGGGCCGAATCCTGAATCCTGAATCCTGAATCCCGAATCCTGAATCCTGCCTCGTTGGGGATGTTGCTCCTGCGTCTCGGAGGAGCTCCTGGGGCCGATTTGGGAAGCTCCCGTTGGCCTCCCCGGCTGCCATTTCCATCTTCGATTTCCGTGCGCTCCGTCGGAGAGGCGGGTGTTCTCGTTGGTTTTTTTCTTTCTCTCTGTCTGACTGCCTTTCTCTCTCTCTCTTCTCTCTCTCTCTCTCTCGGCGGGTGTCTCGTTCTTTCTCTTTCTCTGCCTGTCTGACTGGCTCTCTCTATCTCTGTCTGTCTCGTTCTCTCTCTCTCGGATTCTCTCTCTCTCTCTCTCTCTTTCTCTCTCTCTCTCTCTCTCTCTCTCTCTCTCTCTCTCTCTCTCTCTCTCTCTCTCTCTCTCTCTCTCTCTCTCTCCTCTCTCTCTCTCTCCTCTCTCTCCATCTCCCTCTCTCTGCATTTTTTCATTCTGTATCTCCCTCTCTCCCATTTTCTCCCTCTTCCTCTCTCCCTCTTCCATTTTCCTTTCCTCCTCCCTCTCCTTTCTCTCCATCCTTCCCTTCCTCTCCCTCACTTTATCGCCATTTCTCCGGTCATCCTCCGTGTGGTCCCCCGTCCTCCTCCCGGCCACGTGCACCTCCCGCCAGCACCGTCGCCACGCAGGCACTGAGGTGGAAATCAGCTGTGTTGTGGCAGGGGGTCTGGAGGCGGTTTTGGCTGGCCGAGCTCGAGGCGGGTATTTTGGGGTTTTCAGGGGACGCTTTTTTGTTTTGTTTTTTTGGGGGTAAAGATTAATTGGCGGATATTTTGGGGGTTTCAGGGACGCTTTTTTTGTTGTTGTTTTTTGGGGTAAAGATTAATTGATGCGAGATGCTGCGCTTTATTAATTAAGAGGTTCCGTCCGTATGCGTAGAGGTTGTGTCAGTTAGTTAGATAGACAGACGGACGGAGAGTTAGTCAGACAAACAGTCAGTCAATCAGACGATACAGACAGAGAGAAAGAGAGACAGACACCAAGAGATGGAGATGGAAGAGAACCCAAGAGAGAGGCAAAGTAAAGCAAAAAAAAAAAGGAACAGACAGACAGAGAAGACAGACAGAGGGAAAGAGAGACAGAGACCAAGCAAGAGACGGAGATGGAAGAGAAAGAAGCCCAACAAGCAAAAGCAAAAAAGAACAGACAGACAGAAAGGGAAAGAGAGACAGAGACCAAGCAAGAGACGGAGATGGAAACAGAAACCAAGAGAAAGCAAGAGCAAAAAGAACAGACAGACAGCACGACACAGACAGAGAAAGAGAGAGAGAGAGACAGAGACCAAGGAAGAGACGGAGATGGAAGAAAAGAAAGCCACAAAGCAAAGCAAAAAAAAGACAGAAAGACAGACAACACAGACAGACAGAGGGAAAAGAGAGACAGAGACCAAGCAAGGACGGAGATGGAAGAGAAAGAAAGCCACAAAGCAAAGCAAAAAGAACAGACAGACAGAGGGAAAGAGAGACAGAGACCAAGCAAGAGAAAGAGGCCACAAAGCAGAGCCGAACCAGCCCGAACCACCGCAGAGGCAGCCGGGCCCCAAACACCGAAGGGGCAGGACGCGCCCTCTTGACGGACTGCAGTGGGGGGGCAAAATAGGGCCGTGAAAAAGGGGGAGGGGAGAGGAGAGGGAGTCAGGGGGGAGGGGGGAGGGGGGAGTGAAAAGCGAGCGAGCGAGCGAGCCGGGATCAGAAAAGCACGGTCACTCTGATACCCTTCGTCGATGCACAGATGTAAACACGAGCGCAGGTGTACAGGTGTTTTGTGTTGGTTGTTGTTGTTCTCGTTGTTGTTGTTGTGTTGTTTTTCGAACGAGCGCGTGGCTGTTTGTGCGTGCGTTCGCGCGGGGACCCTGGCAACCCATGGCCGGTAACGTTCTTCTTAATTTTTTCAACCGGCCGTGGAACCTTTGTCGAGCATTCGCCCAAGTTTTCCTAATTACGTTAGCGGGGGCGGGGGCGGGGGAAGGGAGGGGGGGAGGGGGGAGGGGGGAGGGGGAGTTGGCTTGGCGGGAGAGGGGGAGGTGGAGGGGAGGGGAGGAGCTTGGCGACGAGAGGGGGAAGGGGAAAGGGGGGGCGATTCCAAATAACTTTCCCCGACTGAACAATAAAGCAAGTTAGTTTCCCCTCGATCGCCAACTCGAGGGACGGGAGCCTCGCGTGTGGAACTTGCGCTTGGAAACGGGTGATTCTGGAGTTCATTAAGATTGCCGAGGAGTTCGGTAATTGCCTGGCACTTCTTATGAAGGGAGGAGGAGTGGGTGGAGAGAGAGGGAAGGAGAGGGAAGGAGGGAGGGAGAAAAGAAAGAGAGGGAAGGAGGGAGAAAGAAAGAGAGGGAAGGAGGGAGAAAGAAAGGAGAGGGAGAGAGGGAAGGAGGGAGAAAGGAAGAAAGAGAGAAAGGAAGGAGAGGGAGAGAGGTAAGAGGGGAGAAAGGAAGAAGAGAGAGAGACGGAAGGAGGGAGAAAGGAAGGAGAGGGAGAGAGGGAGAAGGAGGAGAAAAGTAAGGAGAGGGAAGGAGGGAGAAAGTAAGGGAGA